GAACTGGGCAGAACGCCCGCTTGCCGTGGCTTAGAGTCTAAAGGGCGAGACGGATCATAAGCACAGCCCTCCGTGTGAAATGTAACGCGGGGCGCAGGGGGCCGTGCCCTAAAGAGAACGCAGGCAGGGCAAGCCGTCGAAGAGCCGCAGGCCTGCCGTTTTAGACACGGTGGGTGCCGAGATTCGGGGCCACAGTCTGACTCTGCCATTTCCTAGCGGTGTGATCTCGAACAGGCTCCTTTATCTCTCGGAGCCTTCACGTCCTGATTTCTAAAATGGGCACGTTTACTCTTCTGCAGGGCTACTGCGAGAATTAAGTAAATAATTAGGTGAAGTCTCTATAGCAGTGCCTAACCCAGAGCAAAACCTCCAAAAAAAGAATCTGAGCTGTTGTTCCTATATGATGATGGATGATAGCAGTTTTTACAATAATTATTCATCACTTTGGGGGATTTCTTGCTGAGGCTTGCACGGCTGAATGCCAGGGGTGGTGGTGGTGGGCTGGAGAAAGGGGTACTGGAAAAGCAGCAGTGTGAGGAACAGTGTGGCCCAAGGAAGAACCTGAGAGGCAAAGACGTGGCTGCTAGGTGGTGGTGTGAGGGGAGGTGCTCCCACCACCAAAGTACCAGAGCCAACCTCAGCCGGAGGCCTCTGTCTCTACCTACCCTGGAGGCCTGAATGCACTCTGATGGCCTTAGGGCTCCCAAGGAGCGCATGCCAGGAGCACCTCTTCTCTCCAGCCCCAGGGAGAGGCTTCTGAGCCATCTGGTAGAAATGGATTATGCAGAGGATGTTGCCCGTGAGGTCAACTCTGAGGCCCCAGAGTGGACAAATGAGGGCACCTCCAAAGCCTCAGGACAGGGAGGGAGTCCCTGGGGATGTCAGCAGCGCTTGGGGCTGGAACGCTGAGCCCTCTGGTCTAGCCCAGGCCTGGCCACCAACCCGCAGGGAAGCCTGGGGCAGCACCGTTCCCCTCTCTCGCCCTGCGTGTCTCCCGGGGGCAAAAGGGGAAGATGGATGTGGAGCTGTGCTTTGCAAATGGGTTTTTCTTTTTTCAGCAGATTCCTCAAACAAAATATTAAGTGAATGCCCGACGTATAAAATAGATTACAGGGGGACCTTTTTATTTTTTATTTTTTTTAAACTTTCACTGAACTAAATAACACTTTTCTTATGAAATGTACATATTGCTTCAAAACACTAGCTCATTCCTAGAGGTTGGACTTCATGGCTGTAACTTGTATGTAGTGAAACTGGTACAGAAGGCCCAAAGCATGTCTTAACCCAAATGAAAATTGTCTGGAGCCTGGATGACGTTGGATAAAGTGACCTGTTAAGAGGAATCATTACAACCACTGGCCTCTAGGTTATTTGAGCTTATCACTCTTCTCAGCCACCTGCTCATGGTTACGATCTAGTTTTTGCCAGTAATTGTATCACCTTCAAAATCTTGGTTTCAGACATTGAGCGCTCTCTCCCTGTCCCCACCCCTCACCTCTCTAGCTCACTTAGGTTAGCAGCCCCACTCCAAGAGATTTTTAACCCCGTGGGGACTTCTAATCCGGTAACCTCACCATTTTCCACTTTCAGTCAGCTTCCTTATGTCTTCACTCCCCAGCTTCGAGTTCATGGTCTATCAGTATCATCACTCACAAGGGGACCTTTCTAGGTTGGGAGGGGTTCCTGGAGCACACCAGCTCCGCACCCAACACCCTTCCCAAGATGCTCCCTGAGGCACGTGTGCGGGGCCCTAGGGCACCAAGGATGCAATTTGAAAACCACCAGACTTGATATTCCAGAAGACCCCTTCCAGTTTTGCATTTTCCTGCCAAGGGATGGAGTGAGCCCCATGGGGTGGGAAGCCGAGGGGGTCAGGAGTGCCAGGTCCTGCTCTGGGTTCAGAAGCACCTTTAATGATGATGACAAGCCCCATGAATTGAGGGAGATTAGGTGCCGGGCGTCCTACTAAGAGCTTTCCTTGGATCATCTCATTCTACGTTCCTAGCAGTCTTAGAGGGCGGATGAGTAGTGAGGTCCCTCGATGTCCTAGGTTCATACAGGAGGTCCTGGCAGAGCTGTGACATAGATGTGAAACTCCCAGTCGAGGCTGAGAGCTGTAAGTGAACGCCAGGAACCAAGTGTCCCTGGCCCGCAGGACACAGGTCATTGTCCTCCTGCAGTTGCCTTGCCTCGGTTCCCAGCCAGGCAGAGCCTGGGGGAGGCAAGATGAATAATCAGGTGACGAGGACTGGGCTGCCAGGAGGCATCAGGCAGCCGTGAAAAGGGAAGGCTGTTGGTAGGGATGCGTGGGGCCACAGGATGGAGGAGTTGACCTGCAGAATTTGAATCTTTCCCCTCAATCTTGCGTTTGAGTTTGGACTGTCAGGGGCTCAGTGACCTCATCTGTACAATGGGTTGGTCGGCCTAGATGACCTCTCGGCTCCAACATAAACGATTCTCTGGGTTTCACCCTGGCTGGTCTGCGCCCCTCCTCCTGGCCCCCGCATCCTTCAGGTTTGGCTCTACCCCTTAGGAAACTGGCCGACTGCGCCCAGCTGCTGGAGGTGGACGACATGGTGCGGCTGGCGGTGCCTGACTCCAAGTGCGTCTACACCTACATCCAGGAGCTCTATCGCAGCCTTGTGCAGAAGGGGCTGGTGAAGACCAAGAAGAAATGAGGAGTGGACCGGCCCTGTGGGAGGACGTGGGCAGAGCTGGGGCTCGAGCCAGGGCAGGTGGCACAAGTCTTAAATGCATTAAAAGTACTTTTATAAAATCCTGTCTGGCCCCTCAGTGCACCCTCCATAGCCCCCCACCCCTGCCCCAGGAATCTTGCTCCCTCTGGAATAATAAACCCCAGCCACCAGGGTTCCTCCCCCCACACGATCTTCTCAACAACCAGGATGGCCATTTGGGAAAGGACAATGGCCTGGGCGCCACCCAGCCTCCCACAACCCCCCCCCGCCCCCCCCTACTACGCAGCTGTGTGACCTTGGGCCAGTGAGTTAATCTCTCTGAGCCTCAGCTTCCCGTCTGAACAGGGATAACTGGAGTTCAAACCTGATGGAGGTGTTGTGAGGGTTGAATGAGATAATGAAACAATCAAACAGCCTTGCCTGGTGCCTGTCACTTAAGTGTTCCCTAAGTGAGGCCAAAAGTAAATGCATTCACACATTTCGAGCCATTGGTGGCGCTTTTCCTGATTCTCTTCCCTCTTTCCACACTTCTCCCAGATTAGGTGCTGGGATAGAAGATTCTCTGGAAATCACAAGCTAGGTCAGCAGGGCCTGGGGTGATACCATGCACTCTGTCTCTTACAAGCAGCGGCCTTCCAGAAGCTTAGACAGATGCTCCCTGAAGGTCCTTCCTTCGGGTTAAGTTAATCCCTCTGTTTGGGCTGAAGTTCTGGCTTGCTTTTGCTTTTCCATTGTTCGTTGGAGATGCTCCCCTGAGCTGCTTATAATTTCCTGCTAACAGGCCTGTCTGCCTTTATTAGCCATTCGGAGCACGTGTGCTGACGAGAACAGCTCATGAGAAACATGGAAAAGAAAACCAGCCAGCTTGGCGCTGCGGCCGAAGGTGTGGATCCTACCCTGACTGGCAGGGCAGACCCGGCCATCCACCGAAGAAGCACTCTGTGCCTCAGTTGCCTCATCTGTAAAATGGGGGTGCTCCCCCTGTGGACGGGTTGACAGCCTAGTCCCTTACGGCCAGTTTTCCCCACAGCGTTTGGGGTTACATGAGGCTTGAAGCCCAGCGAGCCGTCCATTTTAGGGAGCAGGGTCACACCTTTTAGTAGAGAGCAGCTAACCCTCAGCCTCACCTTCTCCCAATAAAACCACCCCATCCTCTCAACGAACACTCAGCCAGCCTCCAAATTCATCTGTGACTTTAATGGATGGACAAGCAGATGGTTTCTGTGGTCCCCCTGGACTGGAAGCTGGGGGGGGACACTCCTCCCAGCCCCCAGAAACCAGTAACCTAAGGGGATAGCAAGTGGTTTTAAAACCATGTAGTCAGGGGACACCTGAGTGGCTTAGTTGGTTAAGCGTGTGGTTTTGGCCCAAGTCATGATCTCAGGGTTGTGGGATTGAGCCCCACATCAGGCTCCGTGCTCAGGGTATAATCTGCTTGAGATTCTCTCTCTCGCCCTCTGTCCCTCCCCTCCGCTCGTGCACACATTCTTCCAAAAAAATAAATAAATAAAATCTTTAGAAAAAGGAAAAAAAAGAGTTTAAAATCATGTAGTCAGTGGCGCCCGGGGGGCTCAGTCGATTGAGCTTGGTTTCAGCTCAGGTCATGATCTCGTGGTTGTGAGATGGAGCCGTGTGTCAGGCTCTGTGCTCAGCAGGGTGTCTGCTTGAGATTCTCTCCCTCTCCCTCTGCCCCTCTCCCTACTCGTGTGCTCGATCTCTCTCTCTAAAATAAATAATATATTTAGAAAAAAAAACACATAGTCAGATTTTCAGGATGGAGATTCTTCATTTCGTGATTTATCAGTGGAAAAGGAAAGGTTTAGCACCTAAATCTAGACATGTAATACCTATTAGCAGTCTGGCCGACTTCAGTCACTCAATAAACAAATTGCTCAATTGTAAATATGATTCTGAGTGCCCTAGCCTCCCATGCATACTCCCCACGTGCCCTCTGCCCCCTGATGCCTGGGCCCTGCGGGGATTCTGGTTGCCTTCTAGGCTCATTTCCTGCCAGCTGGCCTGGAGGTGACTTGTGTCTGTAAGAGCAATTAGTGAGACCAGGATTTCCAGGCCCTAGGGCACCGGAGAACTGTACTGTCATGAACTCCTCCGGCTCTGGGGTGGAGAAAGAGAGCGGGAAAAGCCCACCTGTAGCCAGGTGAACCTGGGAAAGGGTCCACACACCACACACACAGACTAATGACTAACAATCTATGAAGGAAAATATGGAACAAAGGAGAGGGGCTCCAGCGATCCAGTCCACGACACACGTCCGTCCATCACACAGAGGATGGGTGAGAACGGTTAGGAGGGCCGGTCCGCTCCATACTTGAGGGTAAACTCTCTGGCCTCTTCGTTGAACAGCTCCGGGTTCTTTGTCAGCAGATCCGCGAGCTCCACCCGAATCGGCTGCCCTAGGTCTGGTTTATTCACCAGCACGCTGAGGGCCTCCAAGACTGGGGAGAGAGGCCAGATCAGGACAGCAGGATGAGAGAAAAACCCGGGGAAGGAGGCGATGGCAGCCCACCCCCAGATGCCCCGGCATTTCACACTTACTCCGCGGGGGACTCCCGGAGAGGTTCCATCTCTCAGGATGAGGATGACTCTATGAACGAGTCAAATGCCCCTCGTTCCTCACTGATGATGCCCAAAGCCCTGACTGGCTACACCAGTGCTTTCAAACTATGTTCCATGCTTCAGAGAAGCTTCCCATCATGGGGGTCAATGAGATAACTGGGGTTTCGGGGTCCCACTCCCTTTTCAACAAGAACCACTCTGTTTTTCTGCTTGATATTAGGATTTCAAATCAACTTTTATTTGGGAAAAAGGGTTCTGAGGCTAAAGACTGGAAACCACTATTGCCCCGTGGCTCTGGGAACCCAGTGAAGGCAGTGGTCCATCGCTCGAGGCACGTGCACATATGAACACACACAAACACGTGGTTCTACATTAAGAGTGCTCCACAGTCCCCCTGGATCACTCCTCCTTTCCCTCTGGGGATCCTTGTTTCCAAAGGCTAAGAACTCCTGAGCTGGTCGGGGCACCTGGGTGGCTCAGTCGGTGAAGCCTCTGACTCTTGATTTCAGCTCAGCTTGTGCTCTCAGGTCATGAACTCAGGGTCATGAGATCGAGCCCTGAATCAGGCTCCTCGCGCAGTGGGGAGTTTGCTTGAGATTCTCTCCATCTCCCTCCCCCCACTCTCACCCCCACTCGTGCAAACACACACACGCTCTCTCTCTCTCTCTCTCTTAAAAAATAATTAATTAATTAAAAAAAAGAACTCCTGAGCTGGTCCAGAAGCAGGACAGACTGCGCACAGATTACACTCATGGGCTCCAAAAACGCACTGTCCACTATATAAGGTAGCCACTAGCCACCATGTATATACCTAAATTGAAATGAATTAAAATTAACTGCAATGAGGAATTCAGTTCCTCCGTCATGTTAGCCACATTTCAGGTGCTCAGTAGCCACCCGTGGCTACTGATCAGGAACTGGACCGTGCAGCTATGGAACATTTCTATCACTACAGAATGTTCTGCTGGGTAGCACTGTTCTAGAGTCAGCCAAGCCTGGCTTTGAAGCCCCGCTCGGCCACTTGCTATATGACCGTAGGCAAGTGCTTTAGCTGTCATGTGCCCCAGGATCCTCATCGACTCAAGAGGCAATGAGAACACCATTCATGGGGCTGCTGGGATCGGATGAAGTCGGTGTGCGAAGCTCCTAGCACAGTGCTCAAAGTGCTTCATCGATGTGTACTGCCATTACTGGGCCAGTCTTCTCAACTGTCATTTAGCGCACTGAGCCTGGGAAGGAATAGACCTCACCAAGGTCTGCAGACAGAGCAGCAGACCCCTTCCCTCCACAGCCCATGCTTCTATCTCCCATGACCCACAGCAACGCTGCTCTGTCGCACCTGTCCAGGTAGAAGAGCAGGGGCAGGACCAGATCAGCCAGTCCAGCATCTCAGGATGCATCCCTTCTAACCAAAGACAGGCTGAGAGGCGCCTGGGTGGCTCCATTGGTTAAGCGACTGCCTTCGGCTCAGGTCATGATCCTGGAGTCCCGGGATCGAGTCCCACATCGGGCTCCCTGCTCAGCAAGGAGTCTGCTTCTCCCCCTGGCCCTCCCCCCGTCTCATGTACTCTCTCTCTCTCTCTCTCTCATTCTCACGCTCTCAAATAAATAAATAAATAAATCTTAAAAAAAAAAAAAAAACAAACAAAGGCTCAGCTGAGACCCGCAATTTTCATCTCCTCTCTTTTGGGCTTTTCTGACTCAAAATCAGTCCCATAACCCCACATCCCGGATCAGTCCCTCCTGTTAAGCGAGGCCCAGTCCCACCTTGGCAGGTCTTGGTGTGAGGCTTCCAGTTCTCACGGCTGATGATGGGCAGGCAAACGCTTCCGTTGTGGTCCACGTTAGGGTGGTAGATCCTGGTGGTGAATGTCACTGTAGGGGGCTTGAACGGATAGTCCTTGGGGAAATTGATGCGCAGGTGGAAGGCCTTGAGGTTGTAGGGTGGTTTCTCCTGTGCAAGAGAAGGGGTCAAGCTCTGTTCCAAGACCAGTCTGCTCCGAAAAGATTGGTTTCCTCCTAGGACCTCGGTCTGGCTCCTCCCCTCTCTCTGCCCCACCCCGGGCTCCCAGGCATCCTCTCTGACACACTCCCAGGTGGCACCTGCACTCACTTGGTGACCGCGCCACGGATTTGTGGAAGAGTAGAGTCACAGAAGAATCCTGGCCTGGGAGACACCAACGTCAGATCCTGGCTCAAGCTGTACAACTGACTATGGACCAGCCGCCTCTCACCTTAGGGCCCATTTCCTCATCGAAGACTGTGGCAAGTTTGATTAGATGAGCTCTAAGGACTATCTCTGCTTTTTTTGTGTTTTTTTTTTTTATAATTAGCTTTTTTCCAGTTTTATGTGTAAGTTTAAGGTGTACAGCATAACAGTTTGATTTATATACATGGTAAAGTGATGAGCAAAGTGGGTTCAGTTAACATCAATCTTCTCACATAGATACAATAGGAAGGAAAGAAAAAGAAGGGGGGCGCCAGGGTGGCTCAGTCGGTAAAGGGTCCGACTCTTGGTTTTGGCTCAGGTCATGATCTCGGGGCCCTGGGATCGAGCCCCATGTCAGGCTCCGAGCTCTGCATGGAGTCTGCTTGTCCATCTCCTTCCCCACGACTTCCCTCTCAAATGAATAAATCTTTAAAAAGAAAAAAAAGGGTTAGAATGGTAAATATTGTTATTGTGTACTTTACCATGATAGAAAAAATGTTTTAAAAAGAAAGAACTCAGGGGCTGAGGTGGCCGAGGGGTTGCCAGGAGCCAGTAGAAGACCCTCTGGACTTCGAGCAACCTGAAAACTTTCCTGGGCACTTAGCCCATGCCACATTGTGTTAAGAGCTTGACATACACTAGTCCATGCAGCAGACAATAGGGGTTACATGAACTTTGGAGCCACCCTGCCTCAGTATGAATCTTGGCTCTGCCATTCTCTAGCTGTGTAACCTTATGCAAGTAACTTAACCTCTCTGGGCTTCCATATGAGAATGATAATAGACTTCTTCCCAGAGCTTATGTGAGGACTAAATGAGTTCATTTCTGTTAAGGGCTGAGAACAGGCCCCAGCACCTGGAAAGCACTACCTTTGTGTCAGCTACTACAGGAAGGATTATGAGAATTCACCACTATTAGCATCTATTTTATGATAAGGAAACTCAAGTTCAATGTCTATAACTTGCCCAGGATCACAGCGGAGTGCCGGGTGGGAACCCAGTGGCATCAACTCTACGTCTCCACACGTGAGCATTAGTCTACGCTCCTGGAAGCAGAGAGCCCTGGAACTCAGGTGACCCTAGCACAGAGCACAGGGGCTTCCAGCTGGTTCCAAAGTCCAGATCCTTTCAGAAATTTTGTTACCAAGAAGACAAAGACAAAGACAGGCAGAACGATATATGGATGTAAGCCCAGAGTCAAGGTTGTACGAGAGCTCCTCTTGGTTAGCAGAGGACAAGATGGGAGCCATGGGGGTCCTGGGTGTGTCAGAGATAGAGGCACCATACAGGGCAGAGAAGGAAGAAGTCTTAGCATTCCCATTTTTGATAATAAGAGCCCGGGGCCTGTGAAGTAGAGACAGGGTCAAGGGTGAGGCCTCATGGAAGGGATGGGAAAATGTCCATGTGTCCTGTCTGCAGGGGTGCAGGCGGGGCTTCCTCGGTCCTAACAGAGGAAGGAGGCTGCCCAGC